GGAGAACTCACAATTCCACGTGACTGGGAAGCCTCACAACCGTGGCAGAAGGCAAGGAGGAGCAAGTCACATCTTAAGTGGATGGTGGCAGGCAAAGAGAGAGCTTGTGCAGGCAAACTCCCATTTTTTTAAAACCATCAGATCTCATGAGATTCATTAACTATCATGATAGCAGTGCAGGAAAGACCTGCCCCATAATTCAATCCCCTTCCACCGGATTCCTCCCACGACACGTGGGAATTGTGGGAGTTACAATTCAAGATGAGATTTGGGTGGGGACACAGAACCAAACCATATCAACAACCAAGATCATTTCTTACAGATTCCTCTTGTCTAATTTTCTGACCTGTGCTTGGTTCTCCACTTAATCTGTTGGATTAATGACTCCATATTGAGTTTGCTATCTTGGTTAAGTATGCCACTCTTTAGGGCATACATTACCCTTAAAGAACAATTGACAAAATCTTAAACTAGAGGAATTTTCCTTTTTTACAAAATGTAAATATTACTCCATTTCTTATAAGCCATACCTATAGGGCTACTCCTCCTATTTACTAGAGACTAGTCTTGTTCTGGGTATAGGATTCTACCATATTTCACGGCGTTTTGGGTTTGTTTGTTTGTTTGTTTTGTTGTTGTTGGACAGAGTTTTGCTCTTGTTGCCCAGGCTGGAGTGCAATGGTGCCATCTTGGCTCACTGCAACCTCTGCCTCCCGGGTTCAAGTGATTATCCTGCCTCAGACTCCTGAGTAGCTGGGATTACAGGCATGTGCCACCATGCTCAGCTAATTTTGTATTTTTAGTAGAGACAGGGTTTATCCATGTTGGTCAGGCTGGTCTCAAACTCCCCACCTTAGGTGATCCACCCGCCTCAGCCTCCCAAAGTGCTGGGATTACAGGTGTGAGCCACCACGCCTGGCCAGGGTTTTGTTTTTATTATTTTTAAATTTTTATTTTTTCTGTGAAACAGCTTCAGAAGGTCCTAAGAATTTGTGCCTCTCTTTTTGTTTTTAGAGATGGGAGCTTGCTATGTTGCCCAGGCTGGATTCAAACTCCTAGGGCTCAAGTGGTCCTCCAACCTCAGCCTCCCAAATATCTAGGACAACAGGCACATGCCACCACACCCAACTAGATAATAACTTTTAAATAGTGGAACAATATGTCAAATTTTTGTGCTAGCAACAATGTAACAATGTAATGGCTTTAGACATGATATACTTTTTTTTTTTTTTTTTTTTTTTTTTTTTCCCTGAGACAGACTCTTGCTCTGTCACCCAGGCTGCAGTGTAGTGGCACAATCTCGGTTCCCTGCAACCTCACTTCCTAGACTCAAGCGATTCTCCTGCCTCAGCCTTCTGAGTAGCTGGGATTATAGGCCTATACCAACACACCCGGCCAGTTTTTGTGTTTTTAGTAGAGATGGGGTTTCACCATGTTGCCCAGGGTGGTCTTGAATTCCTAGCCTCAGGTAATCCAACCACCTTGGCCTCCCAAAATGCAGGGATTACAGGCGTAAGCAGCCATGCCCAGCCAGACATGATACAGGCTTTAAAACTTAATCTGAATCATTAACATTTTCTCTATCACTTTCTTAACTTCAGACAATCAACTAAATGAATAAATCAAGCTTTGTTTGTACCATTTGCCAATTTTTGTGATATAAATCCTCCCACCATGCTTGATTTCAATATGCCCATATGACATCACTGATCATAAAATTGGGAAAAGAGGCACATACCATCACATAGTATTTTCTCCAGACAGATAAAATAGATAGGGCGTTCCAGTTTTCAGTCTGACAGGTAAAGAGCTTGGAAGTCATCACTCCCATTTTCACAAGAAGGAAAAAGCCAAACAAACTGAAACTTAACAACCCTTCTTAGACCCGAGAATCGAGGTCCCAGGGCAAACCATCACCCCAAAATCTGGAGAGACATTTGGACTTAAAATAGGTGGAATAGAGAATCATGACTTACTTGGAGGAAAAACTACTACTGGAACCAGCAACTGGTAGAAATACTTATAGGGGAAGTGATTAATTGCTGGAGACTGAACATGGACTAGCTTGAGATTTTTTTTTAAACTCCTAGGGACCCAGTGTTAAGGAGTCCCCCACATTTTTGTGAGTTTTGCTTCCAACAGGGAGAGAGAGAAGTTAGCCATTTTGAAATACACCCAGAACATTCTATGCTCCTTAACAAAGGCCTGCCTTCAAGGGAAACTGTTGAACAGAGCCTAACCAATGTGGGAGAAGGGATATATACCCAACAGAAGCCTCCTCTAAAAATGAGACAGTTGTGAAGGTCACACGTGCAATAAAAGACAGACCTAATAATAGAATTACGGAATGCTTTCCCCCATCCACTTTAATAGGGTTCCTGTTTAATAATGGGATTACAATGGAAAAAACTGCAAGGCCCAGAGCCTATTTCAGGAAGAGTCTCTAAGGAAAGTTGAAGAGCAAGGGAGGCAAAAACAAGGACACCAGAGGAAATTTTAGCATCTAACACCTACAGCCATAGCAAACAGTAAACACAACCTAATTCCTAGCCATATAAACACAAAACCTTACCCTTACCCAATACATAATGTCCAACTTAAAACAATTATATGGCATGCTAAAATGTAAACAAAATATATATATACACACACACATTTATATACCCACATATACATATATATACACACACGTGTGTGTGTGTGTGTGTGTGTGTGTATATATATATGTAATCTAGAAAGACAAAGCAAGCCAGGAGCAATGGCTTACGCCTATAATCCCAGTATTTTGGGAGGCTGAGGTGGGCGGATCACCTGAGGTCGGGAGTTTGAGACCAGCCTGGCCAACATGGCAAAACCCCGTCTCTACTAAAAATACAAAAATTAGCTAGGCAAGGTGGTGGGCACCTGTAATCCCAGCTACTCAGGGGGCTGAGGCAAAAGAATTGCTTGAACCCAGGAGGCGGAGGTTGCAGTGAGCTGAGATCGTGCCCCTACACTCCAGCGTGGGTGACAGAGTGAGACTCCATCTCAAAAAAGACAAATCAAGCATCAGAACCAGACTCACATATGGCAGAAATTTTGGAATTATCAGACTGAGATTTTTAAATAACTATTAATATGTTAAGGACACTAATGGAAAAAGAGGACAACATTCAAGAACAAAGGGTAATAATGTAAGCAAAGAGATGAAAATTCTAAAGAATCAAAAGGAAATGCTAGAAATAAAAAAATACTGTAACAGAAATGAAGAATGCCTTTGGTGGGCTCATCAGTAGACTGAACCTGACAAAGGAAGAAAATCAGTGAGCTTGAAAATACGTCAATAGGAAACTTCCCAAACTGAAAAGCAAAGAGAAAAATGAATGAAAAAAGAGTGGAATATCCAGATGCAGTGGAAGTAAATTCAAGAGCACAGATAAGAGTAAAATAATCAGGAAGAGATGAGTTGTTAATATTTACTACTTTTATTTTATTTTATTTTATGACAAGATCTGGCTCTATCGCCAGTCTGGAGTGCAATGGCACAATCTCAGCTCACTGCAACCTCCACCACACAGGCTCAAGCCATCCTCCCACCTCAGCCTCCCAAGTAGCTGGGACTACATTCACGTACCACACCCGACTAATTTCTGTAGGTTTTATTTTTTTGTAGAGACGGGGTTTGCCCAGCCTGATTTCAAACTTGTGAGCTCAAAAGATCTATCTGTCTCGGCCTTCCAAAGTGGTGGGATTACAGGTGTGAGACACCACGCCTGGTGTACTACCTTTATTTTTAATATAACTTATTCAATTGTAAGTTTAGTTAATGTAACTTTTAATAATGCCTTGTTCAATAATCACTTCACAAAATTAATGAAAATTTAACAAGCTTTCAAAATTCACTATGGATTGGCACACCACTGCTGAAACAAAGACTCATTGAAAGTATCCTATTCAGATTTCTTTTTCTTCCTGAATATAAGACTGGATAACTATTAACATTTAAATACTGGCAGGGCGTGGTGACTCACACCTGTAGTCACAGCACTTTGGGAGGCCAAGGAGGGCAGATCACTTGAGGTCAGCAATCCGAGACCAGACTGGTCAACTCTGTCTCTACTAAAAATATAAAAATTAGCCAGGTGTGGTGGCATGCCCCTGTAATCCCAGCTACTTGGAAGGCTGAGGCATGAGAATCTCTTGAAACCCGGGAGGCAGAGGTTGCAGTGAGCCGAGACAACGCCATTGCACTCCAGCCTGGGCAATGAGGGAGACTCTTAAAAAAAAAAAAAAAAAAAAAGATTTAAGTTTCCATTATGTGCTGAACACTGTTCTAAGGAAATATGCATGTATTATCTCATTTGATTCTCATAACTATCAGATACTGTCATTGCCATTTTTTTTTTATTTAAAATTAAAAATGGAGGCTTAGTTAATCTATTCAAAGTCAGACACCTAGAATATGGCATAACTAAGATATGAGCCCAGGTCAGTGCTCTTTCTACTCACTGCCTTCTGAAGCTTACAGTGGAAGACTAGGTCAAGAAAAGGTATACTGACAGGCCAGGCACGGTGGCTCACTCCTGTAATCCCAGCACTTTGGGAGGCTGAGGTGGGTGGATCACGAGGTCAGGAGACCGAGACCATCCTGGCTAACACGGTAAAACCCAGTGTCTACTAAAAATACAAAAAATTAGCAGGGCATGGTGGCAGGCGCCTGTAGTCCCAGCTACTCAGGAGGCTAAGGCAGGAGAATGGCGTGAACCTGGGAGGCAGAGCTTGCAGTGAGCCAAGACTGTGCCACTGTACTCCAGCCTGGGCAACAGAGTGAGACTCTGTCTCAAAAAAAAAAAAAAAAAAGGTATACTGACAATTGATTCCTCCATTTTCCTGAAGTTATTTAGCCCACTCCCACTCCAGCTCCACTGTGAACCTATAAATCCTGTGCCTCATTAGACAAAGGGAGTGTCAGTTGTGGTAATTCTTAGGACATTACCATGGTTACCAGACACAGAGTCCAGTGCCCCAACCTGGACATTCCAGAAGAGGACAGGGAGGATCTGAGATGGCCTTCTTCAACTTGTATCTATTGGGATATCAAAATTCCTTTCGGAGCAAGAAAAGGAATGCAACTGAAGAAACAAGTAAGGGGAATATAGGGTAGAGGGTTAGAAGGGCCACTTCTTTTCCTAGACGCTTCATGGCCACTTCCTAGCTATTTATTTTCCTACCTGGGGTTAGAGATTTATCCTCCAAGACCAACAGTTACACTAGTTAAAATTGTGGAATAGGGCCGGGCGTGGTGGCTCACACCTGTAATCCCAGCACTTTGGGAGGCCGAGGTGGGTGGATCACCTGAGGTCAGGAGTTCAAGACCAGCCTGGCCAACATGGTGAAAGTCCATCTCTACTAAAAATACAAAAATTAGCTGGGCATGGTGGTGCGTGCCTGTAATCCCAGCTACTCAGGAGGCTGAGGCAGGAGAACCGCTTGAACCCAGGAGGTGGAGGTTGCAGTGAGCTGAGGTCGTGCCATTGCCCTCCAACCTGGGTGACAGAGCGAGACTCTGTCTCAAAAAAAAAAATTGTGGAATAGGGACAATGTCCTTTCAGATTTGCTCTCCTGTCATTTAATATCCTTATTAAGACACACAATTTGGGCCAGGTGTGGTGGCTCACATGCAATCCCAGCACTTTGGCAGGCTAAGGCAGGAGGATTGCTTGAGTCCAGGAGTTCGAGACCAGCTTGGGCAACATAGTGAGACCATATCTCTATGAAAAGTTACACAAATTAGCTGGGTGTGGTAGTGCATGCCTGTGGTCCTAGCTACTTGGGAGGCTGAAGTAGGAGAATCACTTGAGCCCAGGAGGTCTAGGATGAAGTGAGCCATGATCACACCACTGTACTCCAGCCTGGGCAACAGAGCGAAACCATCTCAAAAAAAAAAAGACACACAATTTGTTCAACCAAATAAGTATATTCTTAGTCATTCATTTGCTCATTTAACCAACATTTGTTAAGCACCAGGCTTTATGTTCCAGGGATTATGTTGGTGACTAAGGTTAAGACCTCTGCTGTAAAGTGACTATCTGATGAGAAAGATAAGTATGCAAACAAAAATTGCAATATGTTGTATGATTACATTAAATATGGAATGTTCTAGAGCCACTAAGAAGGAAGTACCTGATACTATTGGATCTGGAATAAGAACAGGGGGTGGAGGATGGGGGAATCCTTCAGAGAAGACTTCACACAGGAAATGCTTCCAGAACCCGGTGTTAAAGGAAGATTGGAGTTCACTACAAAGAAGGGGATATAGCACAGACGAAGAAGCAGAGACCTAAGAGAGAACCATATTAAGTGAATTCCAAGTTCATGGGTAGAGATAAAGGGTAAAATGGAGAGGTGCTGGGAGGCAGTCATTGAAAACTAGGAAGGGGCCAGATAATTGAAGATGCTGTTAGCCATGCTAAGCATTTTAACTTTATAGAGAGTCATTGAATTTTTAGTAGGCAGTGAGCAGATCTATATTAGATTCAAAATGCCTAGCCATGCCTCACACATAATAGAGGTTTCATAAATACTTGTAGGGTGAATGGATGAATAAGTAAATTTGAATAACTATAAAACAGGAAGCTAGGGGAGGCTTTACAGGAGATATAACAATTGATTTCATCTCAAAAGATGAATTGTTGCCGGGCGCAGCGGCTCACGCCTGTAATCCCAGCACTTTGAGAGGCTGAAGCGGGCAAATCATGAAGTCAAGAGATCGAGACCATCCTGGCCAACATGATGAAACCCCGTTTCTACTAAAAATACAAAAAAAAAATTAGCTGGGCATGGTGGCACAGGCCTGTAATCCCAGCTACCTGGGAGGCTGAGGCAGGAGAATCGCTTGAACCCGGGAGGCAGAGGTTGCAGTGAGCCGAAATTGCACCACTGCACTTCAGCCTGGCAACAGAGCGAGACTCCATCTCAAAAAAAAAAAAAAAAAAAAAAGATGAATTGTTTAAAAGCACAGATATGAAGGAGAAGGGTATTCCAGGTAGAATGGGGGACACATGTGAAGGAAATTAAGTTTAGGTGAGTGCTGAAGCAAAAGTTGTATTGGGGTGGGGGAAAAGGGACTGGGAAAGTATAAAAGCGCAAAGTTAAGATTGTGGGCTGGGCATGGTGGCTGACGCCTGTAATCCCAGCACTTTGAGAGGCCGAGGCGGGCAGATCATGAGATCAGGAGTTCAAGAGCAGCCTAACCAACATAGTGAAACCCCGTCTCTACTAAAAATACAAAAATTAGCCGGGCGTAGTGGCATGTGCCTGTAATCCCAGCTACTCGGGAGGCTGAGGCAGGAGAATCACTGGAACCAGGGAGGCAGAGGTTGCTGTGAGCCGAGATCGCGTCATTGCACTCCAGCCTGGCTGACAGAGCAAGACTCTGTATGAAAAAAAAAAAAAAGATTGTAGGCCTCCATTGGTCACTGTCTGTCCTCTGCAATTCTATCAAAGAAGTTCTGTTTTACTATCCAGCTTCCAGGTAAGATTTGTACAAAGGGTACCCCTGATGGACCTTAGAGACTCCTTAATATCCTTATACCAGTTCTTCCCCTTCCTACCCCAACTGGGTCCCAGCATTATGCCATGGGACTGTTTTTATCTCCAAATAAAGAGGAGCTCTTCTCTACCCTCTTTCAGAAAAACAAACTCTTTGGGAAACCTACAAATTTCCCCTTTTCCAGACCAAGACTAAGCCTCTCCTGGCTGCTCCAATCCTACCTACTCCTGCTAGATAGAATTCCCTCACCATGAAAAAACTGAGTATACAGCCGACCAGTTGTCCTACCCAGTTAGCTACTTAAGCACTGTTGAACAAGACTTAATACTGATCCAAAGAGGCCTGGGCATCATTTCTTTATAGGCTAGACAAAGTGGAAGATTTTACTTTATAAAAACCAGAGCCCTCTGTGGGATGATAGAGAAGTATCCTGATATCATCTGCTATCTAAGTTTTCTCATTCTGGTGGCAGAAAATCAAAGGCAGGAGGCTTGGCCAAACCCGTGGAATGTAAGGTTAGAGGGAAGATTGAACATCAAATATGCCATCTCTACTCCCTGCTCACTTCCCCTCCACCCCAATTTTACACCCTCCAGTTACTCTCTCAAAATACGGACTTCAACTTGCCAGTTTCTAATTAATCCATGCTTTTGTTGGCTCCAGCACTTTATAATAAACAACTACTTATTATGCAGTATAGCAGGCACTGTACTAAGCATGCTACATGCTTAATTTCATTTAATATTCTAACATTCCTGTGAGGTAGGTATTACTGTTCCCTTTTTATCAGTAAGAAAACTGAGGCTCAGGCCGGGCACCGTGGCTCACGCCTGTAATCCCAGCACTTTGGGAGGCCAAGGCGGGTGGATTACCTGAGGTTAGGAGTTCGAGACTAGTTCAAAACACAGCAATCTGTCAGTTCCATTTTTTCCCAAACTGCCTATCCTACTGTAGTCTAGACTGTTCATTCTCAAAGCCTGTTGCATAACTATTGTCCTGGGACTTGCTTTTGCCTCTCTCCAAGGTAGTATTCACTGTTTCCTGGATCCCATGTTTTTTTTCTTGGCTTACTCCCTTTCCTGCAATATGCCAAGAATTTTTATAAGAATGCATAGGAGGTATATTTATGAGTCCAGAATGGCTTTATTCTATACCCTCACACTTGATTGATAGTTTTTCAAGATAGGAAATTCTAGGTTGAAAATCATTTTCTGAAAATTTTGAAGCTGTTTTTATTGTCCTCTAGCTTCCAGTTACATTCCTTTGTATGTAACTAATTTCTTTCTTTCTGGAAGTTTTTTTTTTTTTTTTTCCTGAGATAGGGTCACCCATGCTGAAGTGCAGTGGCACAATTTTGGCTCACTGTGCTCAATCTCTGCTTCCTGTGCTCAAGCGATCCTCCCACCTCAGCCTCCTTAGTACCTGGAACTACAGGCACACACCACCATGCCTGGCTAATTTTTTATATTTTTTGTAGAGATGGGGTCTTGCCACGTTGCCCATGCTGGTCTCAAACTCCTGCAATCAAGCAATCCGCTTGCCTCAGCCTCCCGAAGTGCTAGGATTACAGGCATGAGCCACTTCGCCCGGCCTCTGGAAACTTTTGATTTTCTTTTTGTTCTGTAGTATTCTGATATTTCAAAATGATGGAATTTATTGTAAGTCTTTTCTCATTCATTGTTTTGAACACTCCATGAGCTCTTTCATTCTGGAAATTTATGCTTTCCATTTCTGAGAAATTTTATTTTAATTTTTAATTTATTGTTTTCGTTCTTCTTTTTCAAGCTACCATTTGTCAGTTATAAAGTCTCCCAAATTGCTCTTCTAACATTAATCTTGATATTATTATTATTATTAATTACTATTTTTGAGACAGGGTCTTGCTCTGTCACCCAGGCTGGAGTGCAGTAGAACAGTCATGGCTTACTGCAGCCTCAACCTCCCAGGCTCAAGCGATGCTCCCAGCTCAGCCTCCCTGAGTAGCTGGGACTACAGGTGCAGGCTACCATGCCTGGCTAATTTTTGTATTTTTTAGTAGAAATGGAGTCTCCCTGTGTTGCCCAGGATGATCTGGAACTCGTAAGCTCAAGCAATCTGCCCACTTTGGCCTCCCAAAGTGCTGGGATTACAGGTGTGAGCCACCATGTCTGGCTTAATTTTCTTTATCATCATCATTATTATTACTATTTATTCTTTGGAAGGCTTCCTTAATTTTATCTTGCAACCTCGTGTTAATTAGCTATTGCTGTATAACATATTACCCTAAAATATGCAGGCTTATAACAGCAAATATTATTTTACAGTTTCTGTTAATCCAGAAGCAACTTATCTAGATAATTCTGGCTCAGGATCTCTCACATGGTTGCAGACAGGATGTCAGCAGGGGCTGTAGCCATATAATAGTTGGAGATTGGGTGGGAGCTGAAGGAGCCATTTCCAGGATATCTGGTGACCTCAGTTTCTCTGTGGGTATTGACAAGACACCCCAGTTTCTCGCCATATGGGCCTCTCCATAAGTGGTTTGAATATTCTTGTATAGCACTTAACTTTCTTCAGAGCAAGTGATCAGAAAGAAGGAAGGGAGCCAAAATG